CTGGGTGAGAACAGCCCCCAAGAAGTCCAGCCCAGCCCTGAAGCCTCCAGCTTCTCCCCAAAACGCAACCACAATGCCCAAGCTGTGCATCATCACTGGGAAGTCCTGCAGCATGTCAACAGGCTATGGAGCAAATGTGACCCAAGGGACACTTTACTGCATGTATTTGGCTGGAAGGGGAGGAGGTCATTGTGGAAGTAGCCTCCTAATTGTGAGGTTCCCATCACATCATATCAGTTTAAGGTGCTGTGCTGTATACAGGCTTTGCTTATCAGCATACACGGAAGACTGAATGCCCTTAGGGCCCCTTTACCAATGTCATGCTCTTGGAGGAGCTTGTCCAACTGTGGCAGGTACTGCACGATAAGGTGGCGTAGGACACGCTGGTCAGTCTGCACTCCCATCAGTGTGGTGCTGAAGTAGGAGGCAGGCACCAGGTCCTCGATGATGGCACACATCATCCAGAAGGCATCTTCCTCCTCCAAGAAGAGCAGCAGGGAAGCCGCGACCTAGTGAGGAGAGGAAGAGGAGACATTCATTCCATGCACGCACTGAATGGGACATTCACTAGTGCTTAGGTGGAGTGGAACATTTTCCACTGGTCTGTGTGGGAGATGTACAAAATCCAGAGTTTAGGCAATGGAAACTTTCCTCATTTCCACACCCAGCAGCTTTGCTTTGCTTTCTACCACTGGTGGAATTTCTTTCACACTCAATCCAACAAGATCTTTGCTATTTCAGCCAGGTCAGCCAACTCTTCTGTCAAACACACACACATGCAATCACTCTTCCTCCACAGACAGATAAGTTTAGTCTGTGCATAGAATTATTCCTTCCATTTCATTTGCCCCGAAAAATGGCTCCATTTGGTATGCTACCCCAAGGTTCACATAGTGCCCAGCTGCACTACAGAGGCTTGAAATCACCTGCTCTGTCTCAGCTACCATGGAAAGAATGTTCTCTAGTGAAACACAAAGAAGGGGCAAGTAGAATTACCATGCCGGTGCCTTGGCAGTATCCAATCTCTGGGTAAAGCCAGGCTAATCCTCTGAGTATCCTGCGCAGGCGTGGTACCCCGATGCTGTTCATGTTGGAGAAGCAGGCATTGCTGGGCATGGTGCGGAGCAGGTCTTTCTCGATCTGGCAAGCAGTCAAACAACTGCTTCAGAATCAGATTAACAGCCTCCTGATTAACAGCCTCCTGCTCCCGTGGCTTCCCTGACACCTTGTCTTGGCCACATACTCCCTTGCCTTCCCACACCTTTTTAAAGTACATTTAGTGCTAATGCAAGGTACTGGACTGGTGTCATCTGGAACCCAAAGGCCTCTGTTTACCCCCAGGACAGGTATGATATAGCCAGGGACAGAACAACTGCTTGTATATTCTTGCTAGAATACCTAAGCACTGCCTTGGAGGGACTGTCTGGGGGATGACAGGAGCCTTCATACTCCTTGACCTATTCGGTTCTTGGTGTCACCCGAGATGGCAGAAAGGTGATTGATTAGTGCTGTCTGTGTGGATGCAGATGTGAAATGGATATTTATCCACTGGGATCTGGAGTGAGGCCACCCCACCTTGCCAGATTCAGGCAGGCCACCAAACCATCATCAGAGGGCAAGGACCTGGACTTGTCTTCAGCTGGTGATTGTGTAAAGGCTCCATATCTCAGGCCAAATCCCCTGAACTGTTCAGTCCCTCCCTCTCTCCGTCAGATGATTTTGGTTTGTTATCCCAACAGCTTGGTGAGTTTAGGCGTGTTGGTTGAATGTGTTAGTATGTTGGTCAGTGCTTGTACTTGGGCATGATTCACATACATATGTCCACAGCAGAGTTGTTTGCTCCATGTACAAAATATATCACAGCCTGAGGGCAATGTGGAGGCTCACTAAATCTTTTCCCCTCCCCTCTTGGGAAAGCAAATTGAGCCCTTCAAACCACCTTTCTAATACAGGAAGAGAAAAATATATCCATCCAGAATAATGAGTAGCACAGCCCAACTCTCCCCTCCCCCTTATCAATACCTGCGGATGCTAAGCAAATTTCTCATCCTCCCTATGAAACAGATCACCCATGTTTGCATCCCAGGCACTAGAGTGTGGACATCAGGCAGCTCCCAACCTGTTTGGAAGAGATTGTTTCGTCATTAGAGCTGTTTTTCACAATGTCTCGGTAGGACATTTCCGAATTCCTCTTCTTTTGCAGGGCCCCAGAGAGACGCATCCACAGCTGGAGAATCAGGGACATGAAAAGAAAGGGTTGAGAGCAGAAAAAGCACAACCACAAGAAATGAAACCAACAGGAGGTGGTGTCTCATTCTCCCTGCTTCCCTTTCTCATGACTGTGCACCTGGGCCTCACCTGAGGCCTCATGCTGTGTGGGATGCCAGCCAGCACCAGTGAGCGCAGCTTTTCCGAACGCGGCAGTGTGACCTCAATTTTGTCCCAGGTGAGGTCTCCCACGTCATGGTTGTGCGTGAATTCCAGGTGGGCCTGCCATTTCAGCCTCTGCTGTGGCTCCTCTGTCAGCGGAATCCCTAGCAGCTTGCTGGAGTTCGGCTCAGCACCGTCTGCAGCAAGAGAAAGGGGAAAGCAGAGGGGATGAAGAAACAGACAAGGCAGGGACAAGTGACAGACAGAAATGGGGAGAGCTGTTTTCTGTATCTAGAAAATGCCATGCAAAAATGTCTGAGCCTCTGCTTTTGGGGGAAAGGAGGACGTGTGTGGTAGCAGCCCTGGTGATTAAGATGCACGTGCCTTGCATCACAGCACAGCTGGGTTCTTCACCCAGCACCACTTGTGTGGTCACAAGCAAACCCCATGACATAGGAGACTGGGACTCGTGTGTGCCTATTCAAAACCTGAGCCAGACAAAGAGCGGGACATCGAAGTTAAATGAGAGCCTGGCAGCGACTGCCCCATGGGGTTTTGTACCTTTGTGTTTACCAGACAAAGGCACAGCGAGAGCCAATAGCTGGAAGCTGAAGGTAGATAAGTTCAGGATAGAAATAAGGTGCAAACTTGTAACAAAGAGGTTAACTAACCATTCATGAAACTTTGGAAGGGAAGTTGTAGATTCGCCATTAAAGGCATTCTTCAGTCAAAACTGGCTTTCTAAAATATATGTTTTGGCTCAACCACAGGATAGGAACTTGATGCATAAATTACAGGGTGAGGTTCTGTGGCTGGCGCTTGGAGGAGCTCACAGACCAGAATGGTCCCTCTGTCATTAATGTTCATGTTCATGATTCTAGAATAGGCTCTGGAGCAGTGTTTCTTAAACTTTTTAAGACCGAGGAACAGCAAACAATTTTTTTTTTTAAACGAGGAACACCAAGGATTTTATTGAGGGAAAAAAGTCACCTGCCCCTTTAAGGGCAACCATTTTGAATTCTGTTCTCCACACCACACCTCCGACTGGCTCGTGACACAGCGGTGTGCCGCGGAACACAGTTTAAGAAACACTGCTCTGGAGGGACAGCTGCTCCCTTTGCCACATACCTGTGTCTCTGACCCTGGGGTGCCAGTCCACAGTGCTCACTACAGCATGCAAGGCATGCATGTGCACCCCCACATTAGCACATAAAACAATGGTTTTCAAGTGTGGGTTCTCAACCACAGAACCCTCGAAAGTACTCAGAAGTCTTCCAGGGGTACATCAGCTTACCTAGATATTTGACAAGTTTTACAACAGGCTACATAAAAAGTACTAGTGAAATCAGAACAGACTGCATCTCCCTAAACTCGCACTCTCTGGTCTGGAAACATCTGAGGTCTGGCAGGACCATGGATGTTCTTGAAGCAGAGAGCCCTGGGTCAGGAGCCTAGTTGCAGGAGGGTGGTGGCACAGGGCCGGAGCAGAGTGAGTGAAGGGGCTGGGAGGAGGAATGGCAGGGTACCTCTTCTGGTCTGGCAAATTCCTTCATTTGGGACCAGTCAGGTCCTGAGAGTGCCAGAGAAGGGAGGTCCAAGCTGTACAAACTAAAAGTTCATAGGACTTGCTTATACTGCTCCATATTCTAGTCAATGAAATGCAAGTATAATATTTATATTCGAATCCATTTATTTTATAAGACAAAAATGAGAAAGTCGGTCATTTTCCATTAATAGTGTGACTGTAACACTTCCGTATTTTCTGATTTTGGAAACCGAGTAGTTTTTAACTGTTGTGAAGACAAATCTGAGGCCTGAAAGGAATACAATAGTTGGAAAGTTTGAGAAACGCTGACAGAGAAAATAGCCTCCTCCTGTCTTTTCCAGGGAGCTATTCTTGTGCAAATCAATTTTCCCTTTCCCAGGTACAGCCATGCAATGTGATGTCTCCTCAGACAGTGACCAGAAATCTTCCCATGGTGGGCCACTCCCCCTCCCCATTTCTTTAGCCATTGGAGCTGGCTCCCATGATTAATTCCCAGCTGTGTGGGTTCTCTAGCCATTTAAACCATTTCTCTTTGGCCCTCTCAACTTGCAAGGTGTACATTTAAAGCAGGTTGTTGGTTCTATCCCTATTTATCAGATAGCCGGGTTAGTCTGAATCTGCATCAGATAAAGTGGGTCTTTGCCCGTGAAAGCTTATGCTCCAATAAATCTGTTAGTCTATAAGGTACCACAGGACTTCTCGTTGTTTATTCCTATTTAGGCACTCTTGGCCAAGATGACAGGGGATTTCTCATCAGCTGGACAGGCAGAGTAACCTATCACAGTAGCCCACCTTGGAATGGGAACCCTAGGTGCTTTGATAGAAGATTTAAAAGGCCATTGAGTTTTCACTGCATATACTGTAGGTGCCTCTGCATTGGACTGCTGAAAAGCTACACTGCTACTTACCACAGCACATATTGCTCAGTGAATTGCAACAGCTGTTCCTCTCATTCCTGCAAGCAACAATGCACTAGTGAAACACCCCTTCCTCACTGCCTTGTGTGTGGCAAAGGGGTCAGAGATTATGCTGGGCCAAGGCTCCAGCATTTTAGGCCTCATGTTCCACGGCCAACACTTAAAGCATGCCTCTAGAAAACCGGAGTCAGGATGGTGCTGAGAACAGAGTGGAAGGGAGATCCTATTATATGCTGTGCCACAAGGTCAGAATGGTGCCAGAAAGCAGATGCAGCAGTCTTACCTTCCTTATCCACTCGGAAGCCAAATTCATCATACCGGAATTCTGGCTGCTCCACCAACTCTTCTTTCTGGGGGCATGAGAGGTAGAAAGTAGAGGTCGCACTGATTTCCAACATTCAACCACAGATGGGGCACCAAGGGAGGAGCATTCCCAGCTCCTGGAATGCAGAGTCAGACCCTCATTCCCCTGCTGCACCACACTGCCTTGTTCAACAGGCAAATTACATGCACCTAGTCCTGCTACACACTGAGAAAAGGGATTTGGCTTCTTTTCAATAGATTCTGCTTTGATTTCCCACCCATGTCACATTATGGTGAGGAGCCATAGCATCTGCTTGGGAGAGACAGTGGATCTGATCACTATTCTGAGACAATCCCCATGCGAAAAATTCCTGGGAATGCTCCCTACCAGTCTCCCCTATGGTTGCTCCTCTAACACAGCAGTGCACAACCCTGTCTTTCTAGGGGGTTGCAGTGCCAGGCTGGCCACCATTTTGTTTTCCTGGCTCGGTGCCCAACGTATGCGCAGTGGGGGGAGTGGACCAGCGCTTTAAATTAAAGGGGCCGCAACAAAATGCTCCCAGTGCTCCCCCCCCTTTTTTTCCCCAACCAAAATTTTCCTGGCCGTGGGGGGTTGCAAATAAAAAAGGTTTTAACGTGGTTAATCCTTTAAAATTCTGTGTGTGCGCACCTCTAATACTACTCGCAAAGCAGAACTCCCCTCCAAGACTCCATCTCAATTCCAGCCACCTGTGCGGCTGCAACAGCGCACAGCTTAGCCTGCCTCTGGTTCTTTCAGCTCCACAGCACAAACACCAGATTTCCTTGTTTACAGCAGAGGTCCCCAAACTTTTCATATTGTGCACCCACTTCCAGATCTACCTGCTGCACATGAGACCCTACCCTTCTCATCACTGATACTATGTGTGTTCGTAACATTACCCACTGTTAGCCATCTGTCCATATTTCCCTGTTACATTCAGATATAGTTATTGTGTGACATATACAGCCAAAAAGCACACCCTAAGTTCTGAGCTCAGTTGCTGGGCAACTGAACCTGCACTCTACAGTGACTGGAGGTGAGAGCTTTGTTTTAAAGCTTCATCTGAGTAGACTATTTTGAAAATGCAATAAATAAAATTAATAAATAAAACCCACTATTGCATAATTTCTCACATGCACCCAGGGATATGCATACCACCATTTAGGAACCCCTGTTCCAGGGCTGCCACAGGTACAGCTCTGCTGGTGGCTGGAATCAGGGCTAATCCTACATGTAGACAAAGCCTAACCCAGTGGTCCCCAACCTTCTGGGGCTGCTAGGCACCTGAGGGTGGGGCTGCGCATGCGCCACGCATGCAGGGGTGGGGTCATGTGTGCGCCGCGCACCCAGGGCTGCGCGCCATGTGTTCGGGGCCAGCGCCGCCCACACAGGTACAGCTCTGCTGGTGGCTGGAATCAGGGCTAATCCTACATGTAGACAAAGCCTAACCCAGTGGTCCCCAACCTTCTGGGGCTGCTAGGCACCTGAGGGTGGGGCTGCGCATGCGCCACGCATGCAGGGGTGGGGTCATGTGTGCGCCGCGCACCCAGGGCTGCGCGCCATGTGTTCGGGGCCAGCGCCGCCCACACGCACGCAGCCGGCGCACACGCACGCACCCGGGGTCCAAGAATGGCTTGGGCCCACCCCGAACACTCGGC